CGTGCAACACGACCTGCGCGCCTTCCTGGCCGAGCTGCGCCGGCACCAGGGTCGGGCCCCGGATCAGGGCCGGGGGGCCGCCGGCTGGGACCTGGACCGCCTGCACGTCACCGTCTACGAGCTGGAGCCCGAGTAGCCAATAAAGACCAGAGACCGGGCCCCGGCCTCGGGGAGGAGTGTGGGGGGGAACAGATGGACACCCCCAAACCAAAGGCTTTGCAAAAGGGGGTTTATTGGGAAAGGGCTGGGGGGGCCGAGCTCCCCCAAAGCAGAACCCAGGAGTCCGGGCGGCCCCCCGCTCTGAGCCACCTGGACCCCACTCCCCTCCCAGAGCTGGGCAGCACCCAGGCATCCGGGCTGCCAGCCCCCGTCAGGTGTGGGGCGGGCCGGGGGGGGCCCGGAAGGCCTCGGGGATGTTGGCCTCCAGCTTGGAGATGACTCTGTAAATGGGCTTCTTCCAGGCGGGGTCGGCGTCGCGGCCCCCGGCGATGGCCTGGGAGAACTCCCGCACGGCCACCTGCGTCACCTCCAGGAAGCTGGTGGGGACCTGGGGGCAGAGGCAGTGGGTGAGCTCCACGTGTCCCCCCGCGGAGCTGGGCGCATCCCACATCCCCAGTCACGACCCCCTCCCAGAGCTGGCTGCCTCCGCTCTACTTGGCTGCTGACATGTCCCACCCCAGAGCCAGCCGCATTTCAGCTCTGTGTCCCCAAGGCCCCACCCCAGAAGCAGCCGTGTCTCTTCTACTCAGCCGCCGACACGCCCCGCCCAGAGGCGGTCGCATCCGGGGGCCGGGCACCTGGTAGTCGCTGGACTTGTTGAAGTGCTGGCCGAGGACGCGGGCTAGCTGGCAGGCGGGGGTGACGCTGGGGCCCTGGGGCCCGGCCCGGCCCCCGCTCAGCGCCTGGCGCGAGAACCTCTCGGCCTGGAGGTAGAAGAACTCCCGGAAGTTGCTGAACCACTTGATGAGCTGCGCGGTGACGCTGCGGCTGAACTGGGGCCAGAGCAGAGACAGGCCTCAGCGCTCCCCGCCGGGCAGGGATCCACCCCTGCCACATAGGGATCCACCCCCTGCTGGATGGGGAGCTGCCCCTGCCAAATAGGGATCCATGCTCCTGCCAAATAATGCCGTCACCTGCCAAATAGCGATCCACCCCAGGTGAATAGGGATCCGCACCCCCCGCTCCCCCGTATAATGTCTTATCCCTGCCAGACAGGGATCCAGCCCCTTCTGGATAGCCCTGCCTCACCCTGGATATGGATCCCGATCCCCGCCCCCCCACCGTTACATAATGTGCTATCCCCTGCCAACGAGGGTCTCGTGCCCTGCCAAAGAGGGATCCAACCCCCTGCTGAATAGGGATCCATCCCCTGCCACATAGGGATCCACTCCGCTCCTGCCCTCCCCATCCCATTAAATAGGGATCCACCCCCTTCCAGGGCGGGGCTGGCCTCTTGCTGCCAGATAGGGGCCGGCCCGCAGCCCGCTAGGAGGCCCCCCCCCCCCCAAGACCTCCCCCCGCCCAAAAG